ATCGTCTTTCCTCCTTTGTCGAATATTAGTTGACCATAAAGTTCAGGGTCCATTTCTGGATTCTCTATTCTGTTCCATTGGTCTATGTGTCTGTTTTTGTGCCAGTACCACACTGTCTTGATGACCACAGCTTTGTAGTACAACCTGAAATCTGGCATTGTGATGCCCCCAGCTATGGTTTTCTTTTTTAAAATTCCCCTGGCTATTCGGGGTCTTTTCTGATTCCACACAAATCTTAAAATAATTTGTTCTAAGTCTCTGAAAAAAGTCCATGGTATTTTGATAGGGATTGCATTGAACGTGTAAATTGCCCTGGGTAGCATTGACATTTTCACAATATTAATTCTGCCAATCCATGAGCATGGAATATTTTTCCATCTCTTTGTGTCTTCCTCAATTTCTTTCAGAAGTGTTCTATAGTTTTTAGGGTATAGATCCTTTACCTCTTTGGTTAGGTTTATTCCTAGGTATCTTATGCTTTTGGGTGCAATTGTAAATGGGATTGACTCCTTAATTTCTCTTTCTTCAGTCTCATTGTTAGTGTATAGGAATGCCATTGATTTCTGGGCATTGATTTTGTATCCTGCCACGCTACCAAATTGCTGTATGAGTTCTAGCAATCTTGGGGTGGAGGCTTTTGGGTTTTCTATGTAGAGTATCATGTCATCGGCGAAGAGGGAGAGTTTGACTTCTTCTTTGCCAATTTGAATGCCTTTAATGTCTTTTTGTTGTCTGATTGCTGAGGCTAGGACTTCCAATACTATGTTGAATAGCAGTGGTGAGAGTGGACATCCCTGTCTGGTTCCTGATCTTAGGGGAAAGGCTCCCAGTGCTTCCCCATTGAGAATGATATTTGCTGTGGGCTTTTCGTAGATGGCTTTTAAGATATCGAGGAAAGTTCCCTCTATCCCTACACTCTGAAGAGTTTTGATCAGGAATGGATGCTGTATTTTGTCAAATGCTTTCTCTGCATCTAATGAGAGGATCATATGGTTCTTGGTTTTTCTCTTGCTGATATGATGAATCACATTGATTGTTTTACGAGTGTTGAACCAGCCTTGCATCCCGGGGATAAATCCTACTTGGTCATGGTGAATAATTTTCTTAATGTGTTGTTGGATCCTATTGGCTAGTATCTTGTTGAGAATTTTGGCTGAACAATTTTCATTAGCACTTCTTGTGATACAGGCCTGGTGGTGACAAATTCAGTTTTAGTTTATCAGAAAATGCCTTTATTTTGCTTATGTTGTTGAAAGATATTTTATTGGATAGACAATTCTCAGTTAATAGTAGTTTTCTTTCAACATTTTAAGAGCTTTTCCACTTTTTTGGTCTTCGTTTTCTCATGAGAAGTCAGCTCTGCTCAATATTTTCATCTTATATGTTTCTTGCTATATATAATTTTCATACTATATGTGTAAATTTAAGGTTTTCACTAACTTTGGAGAAATTTTGGCCTATGTCTTTAAGTATTTTTCCACTCTATTCTCTTTCTTCTCTTTGGGGCTTCAATTATATATACGTGTATGTTAGACCACTTGATATTGTCCCAGAAAACACCAAGGCTCTGCTAACTTTTTAAGATCTGTCTTTTCTTCATTGTTTTTAATGTGCTGTTAAATCTGTCAATGAACTTTTCATTTTACTTTTTCTTTTTTTTTAATTTTTTATTTATTTATGATAGTCACACAGAGAGAGAGAGAGAGAGAGAGAGAGAGAGAGAGAGAGGCAGAGACACAGGCAGAGGGAGAAGCAGGCTCCATGCACCGGGAGCCCGATGTGGGATTCGATCCCGGGTCTCCAGGATCGCGCCCTGGGCCAAAGGCAGGCGCCAAACCGCTGTGCCACCCAGGGATCCCTGAACTTTTCATTTTAGACACAGTACTTTTCAGCTCCAGAGTTTCCATTTGGGTTTTTTAAAATAAGTTTTTAAATTTTATTTTATTATCTTTTTTTTTATAGTTTCCCATCTCTTCATTACCACATTTGTCTTTAAGTCCTTAAGTACATTTATAATAGCTGCCTTAAAATCCTGCTCTGTTAATTTCAATATCTGAATGACCTTTCAATTTCCTGTTTTCTTCACATATGATGTGATTTTTGATTGTATGTTGGACATTGTACATGTTTCTTTGCAGGGCATTTGGATCATACCATCTTTATTTAAATAGGGCAGTGCAATTACTGAAAGATTTTTTTGGTCCTGTCCGGCTTGGTGTTATTATTGGGTGGATATATTTTAGTTTTGAATATGGTCTTAGGGAATGCCCCTGAAATCTAGGGTATGATCCTTACTCCTAAGGAGTGGCTTTTTTTGTGTCAACTGAATGCTTGAGATGGAATGGCTGAGCTGGAACTCCAGTGTCTCCAAACATTTCTTCCCTAATTGGTGTCCCATTCTGCTTTTAACCTTCAACATAATTTTTAGCTGGTTCTCTTAAGAGTCTTGCCCTAGGGATCCCTGGGTGGCGCAGCGGTTTGGCGCCTGCCTTTGGCCCAGGGCGCGATCCTGGAGACCCGGGATCGAATCCCACGTCAGGCTCCCGGTGCATGGAGCCTGCTTCTCCCTCTGCCTGTGTCTCTGCTTCTCTCTCTCTCTGTATGACTATCGTAAATTAAAAAAAAAAAAAAAAAAAAAAAAAGTCTTGCCCTATACATGTGTGAAGTGAGTAGCCATTCAGTCTTCCTTTTATCTCTCCCCTTAGTCCCCCCAGCATAGCTCTCTTATTAGGTACTTTGCTGTGCAAATTTTAGCCACTTTAGAAGCCCTGAAGTCTTTCTGTTCCATTTGGAACCCTTGCTACACTTGGATACCGCCTGCCTTCTTGCCAGCAGGAAGATGCCACAAGGAAGAAAGCCAGAGTGGTTGTCCTGTGTATTTCCCTTTTTCATGATTTGTGATTTAGTTGTCTCATACATTTGGTCCAGTCTTACAGTTTTCACTAAGAAGGCAAGTCTGGTACCAATTGCTTTATTTTAGCAAGTGGATATCCAAGGCATTATTTTGTTTTGTTTTACACTGTCATGTTCTCATGAACAGTGAAAAAATAATCACAGTAATAGTACTGCTTCATTTTTTCTTTGGTGTTTCCTGGACCTAAAGGGGTTAAAGATCTTTATGCATATTGCCTTTGCACTGAGTGCATTGATTGGGAAATTCCTTGAGATGCCAGATTTCACCTAAAGTGAATTTGAAGCATACACATTACTCCCACCTCCTTCAATGAAATGGAATCCAGGGCTGCTGTTGATTTTAAATTCCTACTATGATGCCTCCAAAGCTGTGAAAGCCCTGTTAATTCCAGTTTGTCAAACTCTATTGCTTTGATTAGATTGTTGTTTAGTCTTCTTCCTCATAAATTGGTCTTATAATTCAAATATTTATTAAAAAAATAATTGCTGAGGATGCATTTATATTCATATTTTGATCATTAGCTTGTAGAACAACCCCACTTTATAAGTTAATAATTTTGTCACTTCTTTAATACATCAATATCAGTGTCCTTTCCACCTTTTTAGATACATTCCAATATAGTATATTAAGAACAATTTTAAAAAATATATTCAGTCAACATTTTCTCTGTGTCTCAGTGTAACTTTGAGCATGTTTGCTCCCCCCCAAAAAAAGAAGAAGCAAAAATGCAGTAGTGTTTATTTATAAAGTAAAATATTTATACTGGTTTTCTACCATTTTATAACTTTTTTTTTAATTGCCTTTAATGCCAAATGTGGCTCTCTTGGGGAAATTGGCCTCATTTCTGACCCCAGTTGATGGAATCTACTGTAATCATTTATTTAATTCACAGCTTTGACGTTGCATGACTTTAGACTAATTAAAAAAATAAATAAACGACCTTCAAAGATAAGGATTTTCCAGTGTGGCTATACCATATTCTCTGAAGGGAATTCCAAAAGCAGAGTTTTTAGAGCAGTGTTGCTATTATTAGGTTGAGCATGTAACTTCCCAAGGCTTTTGCTTTGAGGGGGAACAACACTCCTTTATATGTTTATGTTCTGGTATGTTTGTTTCAATTCTAATCTTATCACCTATAGTAGTATCTGTCTACTTCCTCTAGTATGTTTTCCTTCTTACCTACAATGTTTATTTTAAACTATAATAAGCCAAAAATGACCACAACTGATAATTATGATATCATTTGTTAATGAATTCCTTCATTTATTTTAACAAATGCTTTTGATTTCTTGTGCAAGTTTTGGAAATCCAGTGAGGGACCAAAAAAAAAAAAAAAAAAAAAAAAGCCCCTCCTAAAGTTTATAGCCTAACTTTAATCTTCCCAATCTAAAGTTCAAGGGAAAATAGCCTGTACCTTTCTTTCTTTAGCCACATTTAGAACCTTTACCACTCTGAGAAGTCCTTTGTGGTTATTGAATGTGCATGATGTACTTGTGAAAGGAAAAAGAAATACAAAGATTAAGGAATTGTTTACAGTCTGACTGAGGCCATGCAACTTTTTTTATGCACACGTATACATGATATATTTAAAATTCTTATGAACACCTGAAATAGAAGGGGTTGTATATGAGCAACCATTACAAGGGAAGTAAAGTCAATATTAGGCAGGTTGTTTTGGAGTTGGTAGATTTTATAGTTTCAGAGCAGAGATGTTTTCCTTTGGATGGCACAGGAGTATCAGCAAGATGGAAATAGACAAATTGTATTACAGAGGGGGAGTTGCCACTTTTTCATGGGTCTAAGGCATGCTGTCTAAATTGGTTAATATTTTGAATTTTCTTTATTTCTGAACATTTGAGTGTATTTTTTTTTGTTTCTTATGAACACTAGCTACTAAAAGACATAAATTTATCTTTGTCAAAAATGATAGGTACTTACATGATTTGATGTCTTTCCAATGATAAAATTGTCATTCAGAGCAATAAGGTAAGTTGAAGGTTAGATTTTTGTAATCTTATAAATCAGAAAAATCAAATCAGTCTTTGAACAGGTCAGTCATTAAATTGAATTTCTTTTTCCTTACTAGGATCCTCGGTTCAATGCAGAAGTTGACCAAATTACAGGTTACAAGACACAGAGTATTCTTTGTATGCCAATTAAGAATCATAGGGAAGAGGTAAGCCAATTTTCCATTTTATAAAAGGTCATTTGGAAACATTTTCTTTTTGAAGAAAAAATAAAGCTATACTTTGCATACTTATGAAATAATACAATCGTGACAGGTTAACTACAAAGTACTTAAATATTATGTTAAATAATAAAAATTATGACTTAGACTTTAGAGAGGGCTGAATCTTGATAGAGACTTTACTCTGACTTAGAAATAGATTTCAGATATTTTATTTCCTTACCTCACCCCCCCATCACCACCCTAGAACCTTATTCTATCCTAAGATATATAATTTTGGTTGTGGCTAGAATCCATTTATTTCATATTATATTAGAAGTGTCTGAATAATGCTTATTTCATAAAGGGGTTATCCAATTGTAATGATTTTCAACCGATTTTTTGAGGAGACTCAAAATGAGGTTTTGAAAACATGAAAATTGTAGCTAATTCCAAGTAAGTTTCATTGTGAAATTATAACAAGCAAATGGAATGTTTGGGTTTATATTTCACCTAACTAGAAGGTTTGGTTTCTGTTAACCCTGAATTCCCTCTTCATTCATACTTACTTGAAAAAAAAAAAAAGTTAATAAATTATCAACCAAATTGTATGTTTCAGTTAAATGTTCTCAACTCTGGCTGCACATTACCATCAACTGAGGAACTTCTAAAATATTACCAGTTAAATCTGATTCTCTAAGAGCAGAGTGTAGACACTGATACCTTTTTAAAGCTCTCCAAATAATTCTGCAGTGTAGCCAGGGTTGAAAACCGCTACTCTAAGTGAAACAAATAGATTGAAAGTGCATGTGCTAGGGGATCTTAACCTTGGCTGCACATTAAAATCACCTGGGAAGTATTTAGAAATTTTTAATGCCCAGGCTTCACTTCAAATCAGTGTCTCTGAATATGAAGACTCCTAACTCTGGGAAATGAGCTAGGGGTAGTGGAAGGGGAGGAGGGCGGGGGGTGGGGGTGAATGGGTGACGGACACTGAAAGGGGCACTTGATGGGATGAGCACTGGGTGTTATTCTGTATGTTGGCAAATTGAACACCAATAAAAAATAAATTTATTATTAAAAAAATAATAATAAATCAGTGTCTCTGGAGTTGGGACCCAGGCATCGGAATTTTAAGACTCGCAGGTGATTACAACATGCAGCTAGGTTCAAGAACTACAGAACTACTGCCAAAGGTACTAGGAGCACTTTAATGCTTCTACTTTACTTACATTCACATTCTGACATCTTTCTCTCCTCCATCCAGTCCTTTACCAAATCCTATTGATTTTTTTTTCCATTGGAGTGTTTTTCACTTCAGCTCCTTTCTATTCAAACCTACTGCCATAATTCAGATATTGAAGTAATGCTTGAACTTTTTAAAATGTTTTCGTAAGAGGCTTCTATACTTGCCGTCAGTTTCCTTCCGTTCCACCTGCTATGTTCCTGGGAATTGTCCTAAAACACAGCTTTCTGAACCAGTGCTCCTAAAACATTAATGTGTAAATTTATCATACAGGGATTTTGTTAAAATGCAATTTCTGAATTCTGTAGATCTAGGTGGGCATGAGATTCTTTTGTAACAAGGACCAAGTTGATACTGATCCCCTGAGTCTGCGGGTCACAATTTGACTAACAGGATCCTAAAGGAGTCACTTCTCATTAGTCTGAAATAAGTTCTCAGTGCTTTACGGCTGCTGTGTGGTTTCTTAAGGGGAAACTTAGAGTCAAAGTCACTATTATATCCTTGCAGTTAAAACATGATGAGATTAGTTAATTATTCAATTAATTATTAATTGGCTAATTTAATTGGTTAATTATGTGGATGAATATATAGAAAAGACCATGCATGGATTAATGACGAGGTTGCCAGATACAGCAAATAAAAAGCATGTCCCATGCAATATTTGGAACACAGTTATGCTAAAAATGATTTGTTGCTCATCTGAAATTAAATTTGATTAGCCTTCCTGTATTTTATCTGATAGCCCTAGTTAATAAACCAAAGGCTGTGATTCTGTGCACTTGAGAAGATGGTGTTCAGCTTCTATTTTGTTAAGTAAAATTGTGACCCCCAAACTAACCTTGTACTGGCCAAGAGACCCAGGTTAAATCATACTGTCCTCTTTCTAAATAGTGCAGTCTACCAACATTGGAAACTGGGGGAACTCATGAGAGTGTGCAACAAAATTAGGGTGAAGTGAGTGGGATTGCCCTTCTGTGTATATGTGTTTCTCTCTTTATGATGACCTGTGAGGATGATTTAAATTAAACAAACAACAATAATCCCAGCTGTCTTGAGGTATAATTTAACACGATAAAATTCATGCATTTTAATTTTACAGTTTGAGGAGTTTTGACAAATGTGCACACAGTCATGTAACCACTGCTGTAATCAAGATATAAAATATTTCTGTCACCTCAGATACGTCCCTGTCCCCCAGCAGCCAACCTGCTTGCCTTCCCCCAACCCCTGACCCCTAATAATCACCAGTCTGTCCTTGTCTCTATTGTTTTTGCCTCTTCTCGAATGTCCTATAAATGGAATCCTACCATACGTTGTCTTGTGTGTCTGGCTTCTTTCACTGAGTACCACGTTTGTGAGATTCGTTCATGTTGTTGCCTGTGTCAGTAATTTCTTCCTTCTTCTTGGCGAGTAATTTATTCCATGGTGTGAATATACCAGTTTGACCATTCATTCATTGTTTGATAGACACTTGTTTGCAGTTTTATGAAAAAAGCCAGTATTATGAAAGCAGCCACTGTCATGTTTGCATACAAGTCTTTGTGTGGACGTAATGCTTTCATTTTTCTTGGGTAAATATATAGGAGGGGAATTGCTAGGTCATATGGTAGGTGTTTAATTTTATAAGCAACTTCAAACTCTTTCCCAAAGTGGCTGCACCATATGTGTTCTTACCAGCAACGTATCAGAGTTCCAGTTGCTTCACATCCTTGGCAACCTGTGGTACTCTCAGTTTTTCAAACGAATTATTATTATTATTATTATTATTATTATTATTTTCAAACAAATTATTGCTATCCTGTGGAAACTCTTCTAAAGACCTGGCACATTTTAATTCACTTAATCTTCCTAGCAGCTATAGAAGGTAGTCATTATTTGTTTCTACTTAACAGACGAGGAAACAGACCTGGAACACTTAAGAACTCACTCAAAGCTGGGTAACCAAAACTGGCAAAGCTGAGATTCAAATCCAGTCACCGTGTAAGTGTAAGAAGTCAGACAGAAAAAGACAAATGCCATCTGATTTCACTTATATGTTGAATCTAAAAAAACAGAGTAAACAAACAAAAAGTCAGAAATAAGCTCATAAAATCAGAGAACAAGCTGGTAATTGCCAGAGGGGAGAAAGGTAGGAGCAGGTGAAACAGGTGAAGGGGATTAGGCGGTACAAACTTCTGGTTATAAAATAAATAAGACAGGGATGAAAAGTACAACATAGGGAATATAATGAAAAATATTGTAATAGCTATGTATGGTGGCAGATGGTAATTACATTTACTGTGGTGAGCATTTCATAATGTATAGAATTGTCAAATCACTAGGTTTGTGGACCTGAAACTAATATTGTCAGCCAACTACGTTGTTGACTATGTTCAACAGAAACAACACAAACTAGGCACTCTGGCTATAAGGTAATAACATGGGAAGGAGGGTTTCTTGAAATTCTGCTGTGGGTGATGACTGTATCCACTTTCTTCCCCACACTTTATTTGGAGGCTGAGAGAGGTGGGAGGAGGGGCACTGATGTATTTCGTTTGGCTCAATGCAGAGGCAGGACTTGAAGGCAAAAACCAGGAGACCTGGCTGTATTCTGATGATTTTTAATGATAAGTGTTTGAACCACTCTGCAGACAGACTCTTTTAATTTTAAAAAATTAAGAAAAAAGTAAAGCTAAAGAAAGCGGATCAGAGTCACATTCTCTATAGTACTTCAAGAGGAATCTGTCCAGTAAATAGGAGGAAGTTTTCACCAGGGATAAGAGTGACAGGAGCATGTTTCATGCTAATCTGGGCCAGTATGCTCCAGAGAAAAGCCATGATGTGCTCATGAAACATAATGAGAAAAATTACAACAAATGCATGAATTTTTAGGGCTGCTATCAAATTTCCTTCAGACTTATGCTGGATTTTGGGGACCTGGACATTTGGACCAGTTTTTGTCACTTGGCATTGGTTATATCTATAATGAGACCATTCTTTTATGTTTAGTGAAGAAGTACAGGAAAGTTCAACTCTTTCTAACTCAGATGACCTATTTCAGAACTGTCCTCCTCTGAAGTATTGCCCGTTATGACAAGGTAGAGAGGAGTGTTTATTTTATTTATTTATAGGCATTGCACCAGTGAAGAGAAGGCATTATTGTGAGATAATGCAAGTTCTTGGAAAATTTCTTACTGATCTGAACCAGAGATTATATCCAATTATGCCTTTCAAGCTGGGCTGAAACACTTGTTTTCTCTTGGTTGTGTGTCAATTCTATTACTGAGTAGAAATCTAATTTAGAATCACATTTTTTTCCTCCTTTATTTTTATTTTAGCACCTTGACTTTATTTTGTCATACTTAATGATGTACTTAGAATTCTTTGATGTGGATATAAGTTTATAATAGAGGATACATAATAACTTTTTTTAGTGTGAGAGAGGAGCATTTTAGCTAACTATCTAAATTTATATCTTCCTTTTTAAAAAACCTGAAAATTTTGGGGCACCTGGGTGGATCAGTTGTTTAAGCATCTAACTCTTGATTTCAGTATGGATCATGATCTTGGGCCTGTGAGATCAAGCCCTGCGTCAGGCTCCACACTCAGCTCAGTCTGCTTGAGATACTCTCTCTCTATCACTCTCCTTCTGCCCCTCCCCCAGCATGTGCACATGCACACCCATGTGCATGCACTCTCTGTCTCAAATAAGTAAATAAATTTGTTTAAAAAATTATGAAAACCCAAAAAACACTGATTTTTATGAGTTTTTTAATGAGATAAATGCTTTTGGTGACTCAAAGAAATTTAATGCCTGCTAAAAATCACAAAATAAAGCATTAATGGAATCAGATGTATAATTTCAGCTGCAATTTGCAAACATAAATTTTTCCAGAATTTAAGTTAACCGTATCTGCTTATTTTTAAATAATCTGATTTTTCCCCCTCTGAATTGTCTTATTTGGACAAGTAACTATTAAATCACTGTACTGTATAGAGCAGTGGTCTAGGCAGTGAGGATATTTAAAAAATGAAGCAAGGGAGATACTTGTTGAATTTGTTTTTCAATTTCTAGGTGTAGATCTTGTACTCCAGACATTAACTATCAGTACATGGTGACAAGACAAATGTTGAATGAGTTCATTATTCAACTCACTGATGCAAAAGAAAGACTGGATTTTGAGTTAGAGAAGTTACAGAGGAAAGATGCAAGCTGTGGTCTCATATGGCAGATTCTTGCTGTTTATCCCACAGCCTTAAGAGAGGCACATACATGCTTTTACATGAGGGGGTGGAGGCAGAGTGCATGCTTGCCAACAATCTCGTGCTCACAGCGCCGACTGGGTCTTAAATTTGACAAGTAAGCTTGAAACAGATAAACATTATGGCTTTATGCATAATCCTTCAATTCTAAGTCTGGCTAAATGAAAATACAGCTTCAAAAAGAAGCAGAGTTTAATTGCAGGCTGTCAGTTGATTTAGATTTATTTTAGTCTTAAAGAATTGGCTAGTTACGTGTTTTTGTTTTTTATTTTATTTTATTTATTTGGTGCAAAACGGTGGTTTTATTAAAAAACTGTGTTTTTTTAAACTTAGAAAGTGTTCATTGCACTTACTCCTCTGCAATATTCTTTCTTGTAGCTTTGTTCTTAGAAACGAAAGTACTCTGCAAAGTTTCCGTTTGTTCTGGGCTTGAGGTCATGATGGCGATGGTCTCTTCTCTTTGCTTTTCCACATTACCCTTTAAATAATACAGGAATGTAATTTACAAAGAAGATGGTGCCCACTTTCCTAGGAAAAAACATTTGTTAAGAGAATCAGATGAAAAACACGGTGCTAATAGGTTAAGTCCCAGAGGCTGTGCTGCTGATCCAGGAGTAAAAGGGTGAATGACAGTTTGAGGTTGACGATTACATTTGTGATAAGGCTGTATTTCCCCAAATCTTACTCTTAATGGTCAAAAAATTTGGTTTAGACTGAAGGCTATGTTTTATTCAATATGAAGTTTATCTTCATTGGTACTTTCAGGATAAGTATTCCAGCACTTGTTGGAATGCATTACGTTTTAATGTAATCATTTCTAAATTTAATTTTGGGAAGTTTTACATTGGCCTTGAATAATGAATACTAGAGATCTGGAACAAGTTGCCGATAAGCATAAACAATTTCTTTGTAGGATGTCTAACCCAGAACTGCATAATTAGACCTTTGGATGGATTTTTAATTATTAAATAATGTCCATTTTCCATGCATTCTTAAAGAATTAAGGTGGTTGTCAGTGATATTTCTCTTCTCAGTAGATATGTGTGCAAACATCTATTTCATTTATTAAGAGCTAAGATTACATAGGTACAGTGCTTCACGTAAACTGTTAGGGTACTCTCTATTCCGTCTTCTATCCTCATCTAAAAATCTATTTCTCTTCTACCAGTGAGATGGAAATGAATACTCCAGGCTTAAGGAAAACATTTCTTTAATAAAAATTTTTTTTTATTATATTTAGGAAGATTTAAAAAACAAAGATCAGGGGTGCCTGGATGGCTTAGTTGGTTAAGCACCTGCCTTTGGGTCAGGTCATGATCCCAGGTCATGATCTGAGGACCCTGGGATCAAGCCCTGTCTGGCTTGTTGCTCAGTGAGGAGATTACTCCTCTCTCTGCCCCTTCCATCTCCCTTCCCCACCCTCCACCCTGCACTCATGCATTCTCTCTCTCTGATAGAGATAAAAATCTTAAAAAAAAAAAAAAAGCAAGAAATGATGATTTTATAAAATTTTTGAACCCTATTTTTCCTTTTTACATCACTTCATAGCAGTAAAATAAGGTGAAAGTAACCTGGATTTAGAATTCCAGATCTATTTTATTATTACACATTATTTGATGATCATCAGTACTGTGTTCATGGTCTTTTTCAACCTGACAAATTGCCCCAAATGTAGTGATTTTGAAAAACAGACATATATTCTCTCACAGTTTGTGTGGTTCAGGAATTCCAGAGTGGCTTAGCCAACTGCGTGGTGTGGCCCAGGTTCCCTGCAAGGGGCGGATCTCAGCACTCAGGATCCAGGCAGGGAGGGTTGGCTCATGCTTGAGAACCCACTTCCCAGGGGGCTCACTCACATGGCTGTTGATAGGAGGCCTCAGTTCCTCGCCAAGTGGGCCTCTCCACAAGGCACTCAGTTTCCTCATCGTGTGGCAGAGAGTAGCACGGAGGAGGCACCAGTGCCTTGTCTGACCGAACATCCAGAGTTGTTCACCTTCCCTTCTTGGCATTCTGTTCTTTAGAAGCCAGGCATCAAGGCCAGGCCAGACTCAAGGGGCGAGGGATTAGGCTCCACCTCTTGAAGAGAGAAGTATGAAAGAATTTGAGAAGATATTTTCAAGCCACCAGAAGTACTAGCTATACTTCGAGGCTTTATTTTCTTTCCTTAAAACAGGCCAGATGATAAAAGAGGAATTCTGCTCATTAATTAAAATTCTTATTGCTCACGCTCTCATGTACTAAAAAAAATGACACGAATTACCAGAAGTGACATGGGTTTAAACAAAGGTGGAGGGTTGGTATTGTTACTCTGCCCAGTTGGCATGTGTTAAAGAGAAGAAAAGAAGCAGAATTTTTTTTTTTTTTTTTTTTTTTTAAGGAAGACTGGAAAAACAGGAAGATGTCTGCTTCTTCGACTGTGGCAAATGATTGAGGCATTAAGGGCTTCTGAAATGTTATGTCACAAATGCTGGTCTACATGAGATCGTTACTGTTTGCAAGTAATGTAAATATTTTGTTCCATGATATCCACAGGAAACGCTCGGTGGTATATTCTTATTATCTTTCTGCACCATTGTTTCCTATGTCTGTCCATTCCTGGATGGAAAGCAGAGGGAATGTGTCTAGTCCTTTGGCACAGTGTTTGCTGGAGTATAAACTTGAAGGAGATCGTGGAGGCAGGCAGAGGAGATCCTGAAGAGCCCTCTGGTGCCATGCAGACAGGGTACTGAATCTTTTTTTTTTAAGTCAGGAAATATTTGCTAGTATTTATAGATCCATACAGCCACAGCGTTAGAGATGAGCAGTTTTCTTTGTTTCATGTAGAACTCCAAGCCACATAATTTGACACTTGATAGATTTTGATAAGTAAATACTTTCTGTATTTGTTCATACATGAAAAAAGTACTGTATCTAGAAGCAGAGGAGTTAGTAAGGAGGCTTTCCCAGCCATCCAGGCTAGAAGTGGACCCAGGCTGAGGCAGAGGAGACAAGGAGTAGATTTGTTACACTTCTGTTTGGGAGACAGAAGGATTGATAAAATGGAGAAATCAGCAGAAGGAAGACTCTAGAATATGTTTTAGGCTTTTTTGATAGATCTAACAGAGGAGAGTTGTGATATTCCCTAAAGGAAAACCTACAAAAGAAAGTATTGGTGTGTGGTGATAAAAACAATTAGCTCTCTTTTTTGGCTATGTTATTTTACTGTTCAATACTTTCCCCTCTCTCCTCGAATCTCAGGGCTGCCTCCCTACCCCACTTTCAGCTGATGGCCTTGCTTACAACTTCAGTGAAAAAAGCAATGAGAAGTGTACTTCTACAAGAGGACGTATTCCGTCTCCCTTCCCTGCCCCTGCATCTGATTCCATACACTCTGGTCTCCCCTTTACTTATAGGGATAAACCGTCCGTGAAATGGCAAAGGTCAGTCTGGCGCTTGTGCACCGGATCTCTTTCCAGGTCACTTGCTCGAGGACACATCTCGGCAGTTCCTCCCCAGCCCGACCCTGGCCTCATGTGCAGGATCACCAGAATTTCCCCCTCTACCACACGAGTTCATCAGCACACAGATATGCAGCTACTTCTCCCACAGGGACTTGGTCAAGTACAGGAGATTTCCCAATATTCTCTATCTTCTAAGTGTCAGAGCTGGGATTTAGACCCACATCGTCTTTATTCATCGTCTTTATTCTTTCATTTTTCTTACCATGAAGTAATTACCTTCTTTCTTCTTTAGTATTGGTTGTACCTGAAAAGCTACCAACCAACTCTTTTTTACTATTTTAGTTTCTGAAAACGCAAATTATGGGCCGGAATAATATAATAATAAAACACGGAGTTGCAAACAATGATTCCAAATATTATTCATTTCTTTATATATTATCTGTCACAGCTGTGTGGAGGAGGACTTGTCTTCTTTTGCTGGTAACACCTACAGTTTGAGGCTTTTGTAGTGAGACAGGTGTCTGCATCTGAGCTTTCATATGTGATTACCTCCTGGAGCTCATCTTCCATTTGAAGGAGAAAACACTTAGAGATAAAATTATGATTTGACTAGGATGACATCATAGGCCGTAGCCTCTATGTGAAGGATTTTTGAATGAAAAAAAAAAAAGATGATAAATACGCACATACACTTTTTTCGCCCTGGATATCTTGAGCTAAATGGTATGGATATCTAGCTTCTCATGGCCATGAGGTGGTTACCTGGACCAGTACAGGCGAGAGCAGTGACCTGAATGCTCAGTTCAGCCCTCTCTTCAGGAAGAAGGGGTTCTCTCAAAATCTGTGATGCCAGCTCCAGTTTGGAAATGAGATCCAGCCTAGTTAGTGTTTTGATAACACACGACTGGCCTTTTGCCACTTCTGCTGTGTTATTTCTCTTCTGTTTGTATTTGGTGCACGTGGTGGGCATGTGAAGCTCTATCAGCACACCCTCTCACCAAGCCGCAGAGACCTGGACCTGTTCTAAGTGCAGGCAGTGCTGGATTTATCAGGGTCCAAATCCAACAGCACCATGCAGGGCTAAGCTTGTGCTTTGCAAGCCAGCCCCTGGCAGATTGCAGAACACCACCCTGAAAATAAATCTTCCGCTATTACATAGATCCAAGGCTCCGAAGTCATTTTTGGCAATGTCCTATGTAAAGGTGGGCAGGAACAGTGGTAGATTCATTCCGATACAAAGTACAGTTATATAATATATATTGAGTATATCATATTCTTTGTTATTTTGGACTTCCTCCCAAGTAGGCAGAGACAGAGTTTGAAAGAGAGAGCTCTGCACTTGTAGCAAAAATGACTTAGTCTTGAATGCTGGCTTATGATCAGTGATTCCTTGAGCAAGTGTCTTCTCCTCTCTGTGCCTCAGGTGACTCATCTGTAAAGTTTCAACATGAAGTGCAAACACACAAGGTGGTTTTAAAGGTCCTAGTGAGACAAGGAATGTGACGGTGCCCACCACAGGGCTCTTCACCTAGTGAAGCTTCAGAAAAATGTCCGTTTCCTCCCTTTTTAGAGTGTTGTGAGGCCAGACAAATGGAGGGATGAAAAGTGAAATAACAGTGAATGGTGAGCATACCTTGCTGTGGGAAAGACAGCAGGCTCTTTTCTGCCATGTAACCTTTGTGTCTCTGGCCTGTTTTTAAAGGGCATGTACAGAGATTTTGCATCATGGCCATGAGCTGCTCTGTCTGTATTCCGAGGAACAGAAAGGTCTAATAAGAAGGCAAAAAGTTCCTATGGTTCTAGATTTAAGACCTTCACCTTATTGCTTAAAAGCTAGTAAGGCAGAGAGTTTGGTATTTGGCAGGGAAGAGGAATTTTTTTGTGTGTGCAAAGGGATGAGAATAAACACTAGGATCAAGAATTATGCCCTGTATCCCCTTGTCTGGAAGGAACCCAGTCTCAGGTTGGCAGCACTCCCACTGATGTTCCTAGGGCAGGACAGCTACTGACCCCCAGAGGCTGGATTTGTTCTAGCCCTACGTGGGGAACATCCATCCTACTTAATAGCACAGAGCCAGTGGTCAGCATCTCTGCCTGCTGCCCCATTATCAGAACAGCTGGGAACTTGGTACATGGACCCGTCGCTTGCATGTACCATCAGCAATTAAAAATTTACTCTTAAGACTTTTAAGTAATTTTTGAAAGCTCACTTAAAATTTATATACAGTGAAATACACAGATCTTACAACTTGATGAGTTTTGACAAATGCACGCCCATCTCTGTAACACTCCATTAAGATATCCCATAACCTTTGGCAGCACTGTTCTGATTTCTGTTATGATAGATTAATTCTTTTTTATTCTTTTGAATATTCTACTTATTTGTGAGAGTACATTATATATCCCTGGGATAAGGACCTTTTTATGTTGCATAAGAGCTTCTTGGATGTAAAGACATGTTGTAAGATGTATAATGAAAGTAAAAGCAACTTTTAGTTGCCATTTTGGACTTGTCTCTGTTTCTTAAAGTTATAATTTTGAAACTGTACCATTCTCTTTGATAAAAATATGCATTAACAAGATAGGTATATGTGTGGAATTTGCATACAGCCTTTGGATGTACTGGAAGATCCTTGGTCTTCATGATTCTTTTGAACACTAGTGCTTAAGAATCTGTATTTTATACTAGTGCAGGTTTCACTTTCTCCTGGGGGGAGGAGTAGAAAGAACTTAGGTTTGGGATCAGACCTGCATGTACTCAGACTCCTATTTAATTTTTCTAAATATCAGCTACCTCTGTGATAAAATGAAAATTGTAATATCTACCTGAAAGGGTTTTACCAAAAGTTAAATGAATTAACAGATACAAAGAGCCTGTCCTACAGCAGGCCCTTCGTTCTCCCTTTTTTAAATGGCAAAATTTTTAGCGTTATGAATTTTAGGGGGCTGGAAATGGATTTGTATATTAGAGATATTGGTCATACCTATATTTCTGATGCCAGTTACCCTAGGGTATTGCTGTTTATGTCTTGCAACTTCCTCAAAGCTTCTTTTCGACTTGGCTGCCTCTTCCTAGCATCTCAGGCCATGAGAATAAACTACAAGCATCCACTTCTCCTATATTCATACTGGTGTTGTCTGCAACCATGGAATATCCATAAACACTCTTGAGAGAAATAGTAGGTGTAGTGGTGCTTGTACATATAAATGGATAAAAATGGATCACAACCAAATAAAGTCAGTCTGACCAGTCCTTAAAAAATAAAAAAAAATCAAACCTTGATTCTCAAAGCTATTAATAAAAGCCAAACAACCACAAAATGGTCAAAACTGGCAAAAATACATATAGGCAAGCAGCCCAGGTGGCTCAGAGGTTTAGCGCCGCCTTCAGCCCAGGCCCTGATCCTGGAGGCCCTGGGATCGAGTCCCATGTCAGGCTCCCTGCATGGAGCCTGCTTCTCCCTCTGCCTCTGTCTCTGCCTCTCGCACACGCTCTCTCTCTCTCTCTCTCTCTCTCTCTCTCTCTCTCTGTGTCTCTCATGAATAAATAAATAAAATCTTTAAAAAAAATACATATAGGCAACACAGAAGAGGAAAACCAATATAGACAATAAAAATTAAAAAGCTCATTCTCTC